ATATTCGGCGGACAGAAATCAGTGATTTGATAGCGTATGAGAGAAGATGTAAAAGTGCGTTCCGTACACCGGGACCATTGTCGCTAATGTAGCGGAATTGGGAACGTGATCGGAAAGAAAGCGAATGACTGCCGAGGCTACTTTATGAAACCCGTCGAGATCGTCGGACGGCTCCCATCATTTGAACTATCTGGTCGTTGCACTTTTCTCTAGCCGCTCCTTCATTGTGATTTTCAAAGCTATTGGAAGCCATTGAATTCCGATCTCATCGCTATCCCTTATAAGCCGGTCATGCGAACAAATCTGCTTTCATCGGCGGATTCGAGAAATTTTGGAGCGTCCTCTCTTCAACGCTCCGGCTTAACTTACCTTGCTATCAAATTGCCGTTGGAATACTTGTAATAAACTTCATAGTATCGGTTTCTTCAAAGGTTTACTCTCAATTGTCCTTCTCCGGGTCGTTCTTCGCCCTATCTCAGCCGTGTTCCCGTTAAGTGAGCCTTTCTTTCGAAGAAAGCACCCATTAATGTCAAGAATGGCCTGTCTAAATGTCTACTATCCTTATTATATCACTAATAAGTGAACGGCTTCCTCTGTCTGTCCGACTTTTTGTTCCTCCGTCGAAAAAAGTGTTCGTCAACCTGAGAATCCCCTTCAGAGGGCCCGATCATGTAAGAGAGTGGGCCGATATGTTGGGAGCAAACTTGAGCTTCTTTTGTAGGCCTTTGCGTATTGTCCGACTTCAATGCCTAGGCGACAGCCTAGAGACTAGTGGTGCGCAGTTCGGCTTGGTGAGGGCATCAAATGGGACTCAGCAATGTTCGTACAGACCACCTTGTAAAGACGTGTGAAGTCCTGTAACTAACGTGGCTCACCTATACTATGTTGCAGATTAACAGGTGTTATTAAAGTGAGACCTGTTAATTAACATGAAATAATAAAGAGAACCAGCAGAGTACAAAATGCTCTCCCCCCCCCCCTGAACCGTAGAAAGACACAACACACTAAGATTGATCCGCGTGTTCGGGCAGTTGTTGAAGTGTTTCCCACCCGTACCGTAGGGCTTATGGGTTATGTCGTGGGCGAAGAGGGATTATCATGAAACGGGAAAACTGTCTTTGAAGCGCGCCTGTCTTGAGGCTACTAATTGCATCAGAGCCACAATCCGCAGTACCTGATGAATGGTTAAGATTCTTTGCGAATGCCGATTCAGTTGAACTAACTGCTCATGGAGCTTAGAACGTGCCATTCCCCATCTAGGAGCATGCGCCAAAGGGTCCAGGAGTCTATGTTTCAAACAAGACACCCCTCCTTCATTCCGGCTCCACTGATTTCAGCGACAGTTACCTTTATTGCCTGCACAGCTGCACACTCTCTTGCTTACCTTTGACTAGTCCTTCGCACGTTGGGCGGGTCTCTGCGTCTCTACTCACTACGTTCTCTTTACCGAACTTCGAAAACAAGTGCTTTGTTTTTAGGCTGTTTTGAAAAGTGTCTGTTTTTTTCTTTACTAGTATGTAACTACAGCTTCACATTTGCCCTTCCCCTGCGCACCACCACGTGTGATCCGGTATGGGTCTTTAGGTGTGCTGCCAAGGAAGGTAAGTGTAGGGGTTTTTTCTCAGAACTTGTTTGATGGCACCGTGTTTTGGAAGGTCACCTGTCCAATAACCAAGATGATTTCCATAAATATTGCAGAGGTTCTGGATGTCACGCACCATACAGAATAAAAAAACAATATATTTCGCTTTTTGTTTATTTCCTAACTGTTATCGCTAACAGGTTCTCTACTACTGATACAATCTAGCAGGTTTCCAGATGTCTCGATGGCAGATGGTGTTGCCGATAATGTGGAGCGTCATACCGATAGTTCTCGGATGTGCAGCGACATCTCCTGGCACATCGCCAACAACTCTTAGTCCAATAAGGACCACCACTGTCCCAGCGACGACTACCACTGCTATGCGGACCACCACTGCTATGCGGACCACCACCACAACTACCACTACGACTACAGCTGCCCCACGTCAGTTTAGTCTTGTTGGGCTTTGGGTGCAATCTGTTAAGTAGCCGAGGGGGGGGGAGGGTGCAATACTATAGCTGTACTTTATTCAGTAGGTTGTATGTGTTATTCGAAACCTTACTTTAATCTTCTCTCTGAGAGTCCTAAAGGGCTTTTCGGATTACTGTAATTCTGTCATACAGTATTTTAGTGGCCTGTCAAAGCTGTGATGTGTCACAAGTGTCGTTCGATGGTTCGAATGGTGATCCTAGCAGTATAGCTTCATCTTCCAGGTGATTTTTGGCTGAGTGTGTTTTCACATTCAAAAGTTATCGTTCCGCTCGTCTACCGCGGGCTCCCGTAACCGGAAATCGGAACAAATAGCTAAACAGATTTTGATTACAAATACACTGGCAAGGAACTTTTGTTATTTCACCTACTTCGGTTCAGAGTGGAGGCGAATGACCCGCAAACTGGCTGCGCACGACTGACGGCGATCTGTAACGCTCAGGCAGGTTTTGTGAGCTTCATGGAGTTCAACTTGGGCCAAGGTGGTCCGGAAGAAAACCAGGACTTCACACAGGTGAGTGTAACGATTACGCTGTCCTAAAAGCTCAAGGTATCCTAGTACACCTCGTTGGAATGCGCCATGCATGCATGTTTTATTCGAAATGTCAAACTCGCTGACCAAGTACTGAGCACACACTTTGAGCTGTGCAATATTTGAATCGATGTTTTCCTTCCTTTTGTCAGTCAGCCAGCTGTAAAAGGAAGAAACCTAGTGAAATGCTGATTTGCACGCCTTTCACAAGCTTCCCAGTCCACATCACGCATCACATACACCATTTTGCAGTTCAATTCATTTTTCATACGGAACATCAGCAGAGAAAGGGCAGACCGCGGCCAAATCTTGGATCGCTCCTCGCCCGGACCATCACAGGAAGATTCACAGGTCTCGGACATGTCTGGGAGGACGAAACACTGGCTCATGTATCGACTGGGCGGCCCCGTAATTCACTGTTCAGGCTTTCCAGTCAAAATGCAACGCGATCTGGGAGTTGTGGGGGGCATACGATGGTTCTGTTCTCGTTGCTGATGCTCCTGTGAAAGACTAGTAAAGCGTGTGAAGCTAATGTTTCGATCTCACACGCTGAGAAGTAGCCGGCTGTCATCAGAGTGGACATTTAAGCAGCAGAAGAAATCGCAAAGTGCCGAATGCTCCCCCCCCCTCTCTAATCTGAGCAGCGCCTTCGGGCTGACTTGCTCTACTAACGGTGATCGGCTAGTGATCGGTACTGGAAAACCCCTTTCGGAGAGGCCGCGGATGGGCTGATTTCATCTCTCTGAAAAGCATTCTGACTGATTCGGAGGATATCAATTGTACTACTACACTGAATGGAAATCGAGAACGCGGCATATCCCAAAAGGAGCATCAACTCTGAAGGTTTTCGGTGTGCTTTTTACCTCTCAAACCAACAACCGTCACTCCTTTTCAGGATAAACTTTGTGATTTTGGTGAGGTTATGCAAACTCTCTTTGTAAGCCAGCAATTATCCACTAATTTGTTGATTTTGGCTCATTCTAGACTGTCGAAGCTCTCCTGGAGTGCAGTGACGACGGTCAGTGGTATTACCGAACAAGTGCGAATCAACCAGTCACTTCCGTTCAATGCACTGAGTTTGACGCAGCTGGCTAAGCACTTCATAAATATCATTCCATCTGGACAAAATAATAATTTCTTTTTTCTGTATTCTGTAAATATCTAATATTATTTCTCTGAAGTATTGCTCGTGATGTGATTCAATTATTGTCCTGTGCTTACATTTTTATGATTTCGTACTGCGTTGCTAAATTAAGTATACTCGAAATCCCTGAGATCGGGTAGGCGTGGCTGCGTACTTGATTTTAAAATGGCGGCGGCCCAGGTTTTCGTGAGATATTGTCATTTCGGAGCAGTCGTAATCATGTCTACATATAGCACAGAACAAGATAGCAGTTGTTTCAAATTGAAGTATCCCACGAGAAACCCGTCCTATGCCATGCTCAAAAGCCACGCCTACTCCGTCTTAGGGATAAGGAGTGTACATACTGCGTAATGTTGTTGAATTCAGAGGTGCATACAATCCACGCTGGTCGTCTGGGCTGACGCACTAGTGAGGAAGGCAAAGTAGTAGGCCCCGCTCCGCCCATAGGATCAGTGTGGACCTTTGAAGGCAGTGAAAACGTTGAGTGGTGAGCGGTCCGTTTTCAAGCTCGTCCATGAGCAATGGCCTTACTGGTGTATTCTCGTTACTCCCAACTTTCAGAGCAAAGAATTCACTATGAGAGGGCATTGGAAGCCCTATTTCCACTCATGGTCTCACATCTGCCCGCAACGACAACTTAGCTTACCGGTAATAAAGAGCCTCATTAACTTAGGTGGTTCTGTGTATATGATAATATGTCATATGTAGATAATTGAAGCGTCACTTATAAATAATTTCGATGGCGTGACAGGACTTCTCAGGTTGTAAATCGACAGCACATACTTGCTCACACGTGGTAGAACGAACATACACAAACGGGTTTGTCATGCCCCACATATCCAGCAACGGCTTTCGTATAGAACTCCGTAATTGTGACCCATCTGAGCTGAAAGACCGCTCTGGCGAAACAATTTTACAAGAGTGCAACCTCAATATTGTCGATTAAGGAACAGCTTATTAAGATAAGCATCAGCTCTTAGAGAATGGGAGATAGCTACATGCTCACCTTTCAAGGTCATAGTCCGTGAGACGGTCAGGACAACCGTAATTTGCCGATACAAGCGACAGGCGTAGGCGCGACGTTTTTTTTTTAATTTTTCTTAGCTTTAGCTTATCGATTGACAGGGTGTAGAGGTTTATTGTTTGGTTGCAAATGGAATCACAAGGCTATCGAGGGAAAATCATGAAGCATGTCTCGCGGATAACTATGAAGCAGCAGGGGCCCATTCGGGGCCAACACCCGCTGAACTGCAACGTCTACCTTGTCGGCCGGACACCGCCGTCCCACATTTAACTGCAGGCGCGATGACTAGCCACGATTCCCGCCGAGCCCATTTTTTGTCAATACCCTTTCCTGCGTCATTGCCCCGCCGAGAGATTCAGAAACTGTTCCGCCAAGCCAGTGAACGTGATTCCGGGCGCATGCCGCGGCCAGTGAGTAGCGAGTGTCAAATGAGAGCTAGATGCGATTCCAGCTTACACTCATAGACGCAGCATGTAGATTTGCAACAAGCACTAGCAGGTGTACATCTAACTATAGCAAGGATGCGCTATTATCAATTTGTCTTCGCCCTCTCTTTTTTAGTTGTTCGCTATCTTTGGCTGCGTATTTTCGACAGGCTGGTAACATGTTCGCTGCGAAACCTTGGTATCCACACACCTTGGTATCCTGGACAGCGGGTGGAGTCCGAAACAGCAACACAGCAACCAGCTACCACAACCCTCCAGCTTCACTTCGAAATGGCTCACTTCAATACAGCTGCAGCGCCGTTCATCCCCACCTCGCCAGGGCCCATCTTGCAGGTAATTGAGAAGCGCATCTCCAGAGGGAACCCATACTGGAACCCTTGACGTGTTTCTTGAAGGAGGAACTCCTACACTCCTGGAAACACATTAAAAAGCGGAGTGACTGCCATCTTGACCGACGTCTACAACGGCTCATTCATTCAGTCTTGTTCGCTGCAGTTGATGGGACGTGTTAGTGAAGCTGAGTTTGGCGAGCCGCTAACCTGCCTCCACCAGTTCCTAAAGCAGTTAAGCAACAACAGCTGGCAGAAAACGGCCGATAAGAACGATATGATACAGCCTTGTCGCTTACGAGAAAAGAAACGGGCTGGCATCACGCCAAACACATTTCCTAACACGTCCCATCATCCGCATTGGGACTCCAACTGATCGGTTGACGATGATGTTTGATGGTAGATTTGTAGCCTGTTTTGAACAATGAGTGATCCCTTGAAATGAGCACGAGTGGATTTAGCACTCACCTGCCTCCAAGGAATCGGACTTTATTGGCGTGACTGTAATGGGAAGGGGCAGTAGATGGACCAGTAATCATAGCAGTGACCGAGCAGTCATGCTGATGTAGTTCGTTTATTTCGGCGCAGTTCGGCTTGGTGGGGGCATTTTGCTGGTTTCCCATAGATCAGTGCCGATGCCATTTGTGAAGTTTTGTGAGTTCCTGCCAAGCTATGCAATACCACGAGCTTAGTCTGCATACACTTGACGGGAGTCTACAGATATCACTGAGTAGTTCAGCGGGAACTAGCAAAAGGAACTAGCGAACGTGCGATGCCTTTGCTAGACCGGATAGGGACTTTAGTTCCTTTGCAAAGCGACCATACCTCAAATCTGACTTTCTCACGACTGACACAGCCATAATGATTCATAGTCGTAGAATTGACGCGATTGAACGCTTCCGAATTTCGTTTCGAATGTTTCAGAACACCCGTTAAGGGGCTGCCGGAAGAGCCACTTTCTCTAATGGGTCGACAATGTGAGTGAGAGTGATTATCGAGAAGAAAGTGAATGGCGATCAAAGGTGTACATCATGGACACTTTGTCGCTCGTCGGCACTTCACAGATCCTCTGACTAGCCTCCCATCATTAGCCAGCTACTATCTTCTGTAAACGTAACAGGAAGAACCTTTTGGGATACATCCGTTGATCAGGATTTTTGGTTACCCCTGAAAACAATGCCTGTGGGGTCTTTCATAGTATGAGTTCTATGCCGCACAGTATTTCAATAGTAGGAAGTCTTTCCGTGGTTTTCGTTAATGGTTGAAGTGTTCGATGCGCTTTGGGGATGAGCCATGCATTTCACGTTTGCCTGGAATAGTATCAACGGCGCTATAATAAGCTTGGGGGAGGGGTCACACAACTGTATTTTTTGATGTCTGCCCTTGTCATTGCCTTCTGTTTCTTTGTCTTTTCAGCAATCGTGTCTCACTCTGCAAGTTCTGCAAAACTCCTGTTAAGCTAGCGTTGTAACATCGCGTGTGCTAGAGAAACTGATACTAGACGTCGATGAACCCCACGCTCTATTTTTTCCGAATAGAGCATGGCCAACTCGCTTCTCAGTTTGACAGGGGCTTAGCAGGGTTCTTGAGACAGGGCGATACAGGCGATAGAAAGGCTTACAAGGTGTTAACAAGGTTATCCAGTATTCACATGTAAACGGGACAGGATTTGATATGCTGACAAGCGCTCACAGGTGTGTCTACCCCTCTCGTTCCCCCTCCCCCTCCCTCCCTTATAAGGTCACTAGTATTGACTTTTGATTGTTTGGATTGGAAATAACCTACGTAGGTGAACTATTCTGTTCCTTTTCTTCTCCCTACTCCTACTGAAGGCCAAGGGCATGGCGCAGTTTGGTATACTTTCAGTAACATTATTGTGGCCTAAGATTATAACACTGTATAGCGCTGATCAACTGTGATACTTTTGGGATGCGGCATGCATCCTGGTTCCATTCATTTACTCTCTGCTTTCAAGCCGTAAGGGGATTCTAATGCGACTTAACCTGGCAGTGGACGCTCTTTCCAGGGTACAAGCTTCCTCATTTCATTCGCTCAACTTCCAGGATGGTCTCTGAACATCGAATCCACAATCATCCCGATAAAAGCATTACGTACTGAGGATCGAGTCGGTAATCGTTGCGGTCCGGCCGTCATCTCGAGCTAGCTGATCTTTGAAGCCATTTCTAATACAGATGCTTCCGGGTTCTGTCACTTATTAGGAGCGAGATTTCGGACTGAGTACATCACTTGCCAGGAGCGGAACATATGAACCTTCTGAAGAAGCTGACTGCCTGTTCTGGTATCTGAGGCTTGAGAAGCACAGCAGCAGCGAAAGCACATTTCCTTGCTGTAGCACACCTTGAGGAGCGGAGCCGGGGCAGTTCGGCGACGGGGGGGGGGGAGGGGGGCATTTTGCACTTTCGTTGTTCACTAGTTCTGGTTTACAAGTCTCACTCTGGTAAAACCTGTGAACTCTTGTGAAGCTGGAGCAAGCTCGTCAAGCCATCATGGTAAAACCTGTCAACTCGAGAAGAGGCTGTCTAGATGGGTCGACACGTCGATGGGAAGTAGCAAAAGTGCAAAATGCGCAAAATGCCCCCCCCTCCCCGTCGAAACTGCGTCACGGAAGTACATTCAAGAGGCGTCAGGATTGAGCCAAAGACTTGGGCCGGAGGTATGTCAACAGAGCCATTCGAAATTGCCAAATCAACTAGGATTTGAAGGTCCTTGGCTTATCAAGATAAACCAAGTGAAGGTTCATTTCTATTCAATGGCGTTTTCCGGCACACAACGATGAGGAGCGTAAATGACATCATCAGTACTTTCGTTCTCATGTCGGAATCCGCTTTGACTGCTCTTAAAAATGCACCAATA